AGCAGTTATTTTCGAGAACAGGACGAACCACAGCCTGATCTAATGCATCAAGTTCCTGAAACAACTGAACTAAGTAAAAGAAGTTGTTAGCACCATTTTGGCAAGAAGAATTTGATTTAATTTTAAACCAAAAGGGTCCGTAAAAGTTCAAAATGAAATGCGTTACTCTTCTGAGATGTTCAGATGCCACTTCTCTAGACATGCAGAGACGCAAAATCCTGTTGGCTTTCGTCAACCATCGAGCATGAATTATATTTCCAGGTAAACTCTTCTCAAGGAAATCAATATCTGTAGAAGCCTGACGTCCACGCTCTACTGCTAGACATGCTTTCAAAAAGTACAGTTGGTCTGTGCTAAGATCCTTCTTGACAGCTTCATCACAATCAGTCACTTTACCAGTAATTGGAAAATAATTAACGACAGGCAATTCATTCGGATCATATTCTAGAGCTGAGCTAATTGTACCTGTCGATGTGGAAGGTCCTGCAGTTCGAGCAAAATCCATGCCTGGCAAAAACCTTTTAAATGGCAGCTCGTTACAGTGTAGAAGGCATACCAACCACTGTAATGGTCTATCTAAGTTATACTCCATTTCTTTTTTAGCACTTGTAGTTAGGTGCTAAGCCATTTGCCAATGCATTTTAGTCAATGATTTATAGTTGGTACGTATTTAGATTGTACCAAGAAAATGGTTAAAATACACCAAATAAGGTAAGACTTTAATCGAAAGTTGGGACACCTAAACGTTTCATAAAAAATCTTTAAATATTATTTTCATACTGTATTGATGCCAAGACAACTTTTTGTTCATGTACAGGAAAGATAAAAAAATTCGACCCACCCTAATACATACATACATACATCACACATCATTAGTTTACCCCTGGGACCTCTCCTCAATGACAATTTTTAGTACTGGAAATTAATAGCAGACTTTTGATGATATTTGCTTAAAATATGTTTTGCGTTACCAAAGTTTTTGTTTTTTACTGAAAAGTTTTTGATTATTTGAGTTAAAAATACATTTTGTTAAAACTATTAAACTTATTTATCTTATTTATTGGCAAATAATATTTGTCAATGTTAACTCTAATGTTTTTTGTACGATAAAGAAAAAACTTGTTTACACCTCGTATATAACTATATGAAAGGAAGATACATTATTCATCTTTTTACTTGCTAATCAAATGAAAGTTTTATAGCAATGTCTGTTCACAGTTCAATTTATAAACAATAAAACCAAATCTGCCTAGAAATATTTTGATTGCGTTGTATGTTGAGCAACAAAATTTTTATTGGCTCGTAATCTCACTTTCTGATTTTCTTCTGAGTAGTATTACTTAATTTCGTACACTTTGTCGCAAAATTTAAGCTTAGCACAAATCTAAACACTTTTAAGAGACTACATCAATTTAAAACTAAATCATTAATCACTCTTTTTGGTTTCAATAAGCTTTCTAAGTTTTTTCAATTTATTGGTAACATACTTTAACACAGGGGAGGGCAAACTATGCGGCCCGCGCAGCAATGTTATGCGGCCCGCAAGGCCTTGTTCGCCAAAAAGGTCAAAAGTAGCCACAAATTTTTAAAAAGTTTTCTCGTGGACAAGAAAATTTGCTATTTAAGTACATATGCGGCCCTTCAAATGTAAAATAGTTGTCAATGCGGCCCTCACAGTAAAAAGTTTGCCCACCCACACTTTAACAGAACAGACGCATGCAAATAAAAGTTAATGAAATGACTTGAAGGATAACTAAATTGTATTTATTTTTAATGATTACTGTTACTTTTTAAAGATTTCACAACTTTAATTAATAAACTCAAAATATATAGGTGGGCCATCGTTTGTGAATGTCAAACAGCAAAATAATGTTTAAAAAATTGAAGATTTGCCCAGAGAATAATAACGAAACCACATGTGAGGATATTCGCAAGAAACCTAGGTATGCTCACTGTTCAGTGTTAACATTGTTCACGTTGACATTTGAAAAGTAAAGAAGAACTAGCAGCATATGAAGTGTGTACAAAGCAGGAGCATTTTGAAAGTTGCTTCGAACAAATGCCTCTCTCGTGTTATAGGATGTTTTTATTTTTGTTTAATAACTTTTTCAATGCAGTGATTCGCATCTATCAATTGTTAGTGGGCTGGTTCATTAAAAACATACTCACACAAATTTTTCTAGAAAATTAAAAAAAATTATATCAGATTTGTTTTAATTACTACAAACATTTTGTCAAATAAATTCTGAATTCTAGTTTACAACAATTTTTAAAATGAAATGTGAACTGATTAAAGATTATAATTTAATTGAGAATTTAATTAAAATGGAAACTTCATTCAAAGAGTAATCCTAATTTATAGACTTTTTATTATAGGCAGGCGAGTACAGAAGCAAGCAGGCGCACACGCAGGCACGGAGCACGGTGGTACATGAAGTGGCGATTTTATTGCGCTGAGTTCTACGAGGCTTCTAATGAATTTAGTGGCGATAGGAAGACAATGATGAAGTCAGCGATATGAAGATTTAAGGCGAATAAACGACCTTCGAGTGATTTTTCGCTTCGTTCAAACGTCATTCCGGTAGAAACAACATGCTGTGCTTTTGATTGTGAAAGAGAGGGCGGTTGAATGAGTATTAGAGGTGATGAAATGATGGTGGTGGTGGGATGATGGCGATGATGTGGTGGTGGTGGTGTGGTGATGGTGGTGGTGCAATGATGTAATGGTGGGAATGTGATGTTGGTGGGGATGGTGGTGATGTGATGTTGGGTGATTGTAGCAATGAAATAAGATTTACTTGTGTCAGGAATGAAAGTGTTATTATAAATTTTTCAATACAAATTTATACATTCACTTGTCGAACAAAACATTTTAACAACCGTACACGTTAATATTGAGAAAAAGAAAAAAAATATGTTTAACACTTTTTGGATTTGAAATTAACATCCAACAGTTTTTACACAAAATTGTTTCTATTTAAATCTTTTACGGTTATATCTCTTTTTCACCCGAAGGCAAATTTTTTCTTCAAATCATTTTTTTCAATACATTGCCTTTAAAAATTATAAATTAGAAAAAGTAATATATGAATTAACGGATAAAACTGGAAATAAAGAGAAAAAAATATGTTAGCAAGGTGGTATGGGGACACAATCTGGAGAAAGAAAAGTGTATCATAACTGCATGTATGTGTTGAAGGATGTTTTGCATATATATGAGGAGTTGCATTGATGAGGAAATATTAAACGCGATCAATCAATGATGCTAAAAGAAATGAATAGGCGAGATGAAACGCTGTCGGAGGAAGAAGAGGCTGAAGCGATTGAAGGAAGGAAAATTAATAAAATAAATGTATGGAAGCATGTAATAAAATGAATAAATGGTTTAAATATAAAATGATTGTATAGTATAGCGTAACATCGTTATGAAGACATATAAAACTGTTTCTATATCTGAAAAAAACTCGGAAGTTCTACACGATGGCCTGTATGATTTGATCTGAACAGCATTTATTGAACAATAATAAACAAACTAAATTATGTAATGAAATTAATTTATTCAATAATTTTATAAATGATTCCTTGATAAAATTAGCAAATAATTTCAAAATTTCCTAATTTTTTTGACAAATTAAAAAAGTTTAAAAAAAAGTTTAATTAAAAAATTATTTACTACGAGTTTTCGAAGTCAATAAAACAAATATTTAAGATAAATTTTGTGCTAACTTAATGTAAATGTGATTAATTTATAAGGTTAGGGATGAACTTAAAAGCAAATCAATGAATTAAACCACGGACTTTAGTCAGATAGCTGTCGAGCAGTCAATGTTTCTGAGAGTTACTTGCTATTTGCGGCTTAATTTCATGATTTTAATTTATACTTTTGAAAAATATTTATACTTTGCTAACAAATCTGTATTTTTAGAATGTTCTGTTATAGTATTTTATTTTATAAAAAAAATATTTTATTTTATAAAAAAATGTGTGTTTAAAAAGTTTTGCTGATTTAATAAAAAATATCAATCGACTAAAATTGGATGACATATCAAAGAATGAATGGATGAAAAATTGAATAAAAGAATACCTGAATATATGGAAGAAGGAAATCTCTCAGCGAAATATATAACGCTATAGAAAAGGTTTAATTGAAACGTTACAGACGTACAATAGTTTATTGGCCTATCAATCAATCGATCAATCAAGTCCTCAATAGAGCAACTTCGATTAATCAAGCAGCTTCTGAGCGAGGTGTCGTTCTTTTGTGAGCTTAGGTGAGAGCTCATGAATGCAGGCTTATGTTTGTTGCTCCATTCTGTATTCGTGTGCACGTGTGTTCTGTTGTATGTATTTGTGTGTTTGGGTAAGTAGGTTTTGTGTCTGTGTGAGTTTGTGTGTGCATGTTTATATTTTGTTCTATCATCTGTGTGTGCGTTCCTATGTTGCCTCATCTTGTGTGGGTTTTGTACGTTTGTGCTAATATATGTGAGTGTGTTTATGAATGTATATATATATATGCGTGCGGTAAGGTGTTTGTGTGTTTTTATGTGTGTGCATATATGTTATCGTGTTTTGTGTATGTGTGTGCGCATCAACAACGTGAATATGGATTTACAGGTTGGTGGATGGAAATGCATTACAGGAAATCAGATGGAAAGGTGAGGGTACAAGGTTTGTGGGGGCTAAAGGTGGAAGATATAAGTTGTGGTGGAAGGGGGATGATGGTACGGGAGGAGTTGGTGTGATGGTAAGAGAAGAGTTGGTGGAGAAGGTGTTGGAAGTGAGGCGGAGAAGCAATGGTGTAATTGTGGTGGTGATGGTGTTTGGAAAAGTAATAGTGAGGGTGATATCAGGATATGCTCCGCAACAAAGTAGGAAGAAAGAGGAGAAAGATAGGTTTTATGATGATGTTTCTGACGAGATTGGGCAAGCGGGCAAGTTTGTGGTGTTATTGGGTGATTTGAATGGTCATGTGGGGGCGGATACAGACGGATATGAAGGTGTACATGGGGGATGGGGATATGGTATACGGAATGAGGAAGGGCGTAGAGTGTTGGAGTTGGCGGATGCACATAGCATGGTGGTGGGGAATACCTGGTTTACAAGGGAACCAGCGCGATTGATTACATATAGGTCAGGGGAGCATAGGTCAATGGTAGACTATATATTGGTAAGGGCCAAACATGGGAAGTATGTGAAGAATGTGAAGGCGATA